GCTCGTTTATCATAATCCGCTGCAAAAGCTCGATATTCAACCATACTATGGACCCGAAATCCTTAGGCACCACGCTTTAACATTTGAGTCCACTAGGACCGTTGTTGAGAGTCACCCACTCTGACTTGTTCCCGAATATAATTAACTCCAAGGCTCTGCTAGCACTTGAATACCATTCTCAAAGAAACGCCTGGCTGAATCACCTTTCTTGTAAATCACCTCTACACGAAGCATAAATCCCAAGTCTTCCCAAAGCCTGAACATAAACTAATAAGGCCAATTATAACACACATTCCTCAAACCCTTTGCTCAAATCGCCACTGATGTTCCCTTTCCTTAGTCGTAACAACCCGCCCATATGCCGATAACCAGAAACCTCACAAGTAGATAACCATGCAATCCAATCGTAGGCGGTGGGCCTCTCCCACTTAGCTCGAAGCTACCATTACCTAACTCTGGAAAACCACCAAGGTTCATTCTTCATTGTCGACCTGATCTTGCACAACCAACTCGCCAAACTCCTCGAAATCCTTCTGTTTGACCTTTCATGAACACTCTGAATCACTAACCACATTCACCTATTTGACCTCTTACCGGATAGCCAGTAGAATTTTTCGTATCAAGCAAGCTCTTTTCTGTCGCATCCGATCTTCCTCCGTATAGCAGCCAATATTCCAAATTAAGCCCGTAGACCCAGTCACTGACCACCGTGAATCCCGAATCACTCTAATCTTTCCGAAATTCAATTCTGCCACGCCTACAAGTCATAATACCTGAAGTGAAGCTGCTCATGGCCTCAAACCGTTGAACGACGCGCTAGAGCTCAAAACGACCGGTCAGGTCGTTATATAAGACCTCTGGAGGATTTGAAAAACTCATGCCTTGTTTCATTCACAATGATGGAATACCAATTATTTGATATTAGCCTGTGGATAAGCTCAATAAAATATTCCTTGAACCCAAGCTTCCTGAGAACTGAGAACTGAGAACTGAGAACAGAAGTAAGAGGTCCAAGATATTTTGTCATAGGCTTTGGACATGTCCAGTTTCGTGACTACGTTGCCACCCTCCTTACCTCCCTTGATACCATGAACAATGTCCTGCACCAGAAGAATATTTTTAGTAATGGGCCTACCTTTCACGAACCCAGTCTGATTCCCAGAGACCACATTAGGAAGAATGGTCTTTTCTCTATACTCACCTAGTGTTAAAAGGGAAAACATGGAACACAAAACCTATATATCTTTTTTTACTTTTCTAAAAGAAAAGTGCGTATGTGCTCATTAGTGAAATCATTTTCTCCTCATGTTATGGTACCAAAAATGTATGATTTAAAGAAGCAAGGTGGTAAATTAAATTAAGACTTTGCGCATAGCAAATGATATTGTGCACTTCGTCTCCAATATGGTTGCCCTTGATTCTTGAAAGCCTTATAAATAATGGTCCTACCCACCAACCCAAGATCCACACTATTGGAACATAAAATTGATTGGACCCTGGTCAATACAAACCCCAAATTGGAAAGCTCCTATGTATTTTATATTTTTAGGAGTAGTTCAAAAACATTATATTATAGAAATGGTGGATGTTGATGAATGCATGAAATCACAAAGATTCCTCATTAGACGGCCATGAAACAAACAATGTGGACCCTCTTTTGTCGTTATGTTGATGGAATCAACCACGACATCTCATATTGGTATCAATATTTATGCATAATATATTATTACTACTAAGTAGTGTGAAATATAATCATGGATCAATTGTCCTTTTGCTTATGTGTATGGTGCACTAATGTTACTATTATTACTACTAAGGGTACTTGTAAATATAATTAACTAGCCGTTGGAATTAAGTATATTCTACAAAGTGATGATTACACTTGCATAAGGTTGGATATATAAATTTTTGTTTTCTGGCCAACTTGGGTTGAATGTGGTATATACCAATTGGCAAAGAAAGAAAGAAAAAGTGGAAGTGATATATTCATCAATATAATCATTTTCATGCAAAACTTTGATTTTGTACGACAACAAAATATAATAGTGATTCATCATTGCTCAATATAATCTATCATGACACATATACAACATTATGCTAATTTGTGAGACACTTGATTCTTCTACCACTAAAAGTCTATTTAATTTCCACACACATTATATATAATCTATGTGCTATAGAGATACCAATTATAATCGTGCACCTGGTTTATCATATTTCGAAGGCGAAATACATAAACAACCCCTTTAAGTTGTCCTCAACAATCAAATAAACACCTCAACTAAGCCCTTTTTCATATTGACACTTCAAGTGGTTATTAAGTAGATCAAGTAAACACCCGAGTGCAGCAGAGCATATGCGTGAGTTACACTTGCCAATGACATGTCAAATGAACCAATTAAAAAATGACACGTGTAATTTCCCCATAAAAACTTGACATGTGTAATTTACCAAAAAAATGCATTTAAAGAAGGAAAATACGTTTTTCCTAAACCACGTACCCCCCCCCCCCCCCCCACCTTCTTTCTCTCATCCCCTTTTCTCAAGTCTACCCAACTGTCCCAAAATAATACATTCATCCAGAAGATTAGAGACTAGATAATAACTAATAAATTGATAATTAACAATCAATTTTCACCACTAATTTGTCAAATTGGGATGATGCAAATGTCTCAAATCGATTTAAGAAGCAACCAGCAAGTGGGTTTCTTCCAAATTGAAAGAAAAAAAATCTGAAGTTCTTGAGGATTTGAAGGAAGATGGCCACACCTCCAATGTCCGGAGAATGTTCTTGGAGATGGATTCGGAACTTTTCGAAGAGTGTGAAAAGCAACACAATGAAAGAGTAGCAAAGTTTTCATTCCTTCATTTATCCATATATTAAACACCCTGTCTCTGAAGCTTCTCGCAAAAAGTCCTTCGACGACACAATGCCTCACCTGCCCTCTGCTACATATCTCTTTCGTTCGCCGTAGACCCACCCACCAAATGGAACTCTGCCCTTTTCAACCAAGGAACGAGCAACAACGCTTTGCTCCTGGGGCTCGTCTACACCACATAGACTAGCGCTTAGGCTTCTCTTTATGTTCCTTAGCGACCTTTGATTGATTCGTAAACCTTTCCCCGATGCCAGCGGAGTTGTGGAGCAGCGCGAGCTGACATGGAAGAAATTGGAAGAAGCTGCGGAACTGACCAGGTAGAACATGTTGGAACAGCTTATCAATTCCAGCTGAGCTCTGTGCCAATAGTACTTCTCTCTCTCATTAACCGGAATGCTTAGAACGTCAAACAATGCACGGTGATGGTTTTTGACTTTGCAAACTGAAGCTGATTTGCTCCGAGTTACTAGCCGAAGAAAAAATCAAATATTTCTAAGGAGAATGATGGACCTAATGAATTGTGCTCTTGTTTTGGAACGGGTTTTTTGCCTAATGACCTAAAGCTTACAATTTTTTTCTAATTGAAAGAAAAGGTGACCAACAATGGAGGGGGAAAAGGTGAGACTAGCAGAAATGATAAAGTGAAAATTAGGGTTTGGGTATTGGGCTTAAATTAGAGACTTCATTAAGGGTATATTCAGAATTACACATACAATTACCGTTATTACTGTTCGGGATGGGTAGACAACGTGCGTCTCCGAAAGTGCATGACACGCGAGGTGAACTGACTGTATCCGGTGTTTACTTGATCTACTTAACAACCACTTGAAGTGTCAATATGAAAAAGGACTTAGTTGATGTGTTTATTTGATCGTTGACGACAACTTAAAGGTGTCGTTTATGTATTTCGACTATTTCGAACTTTATACTCCTATCATTTTTTATGTGTATGTCAGCTCTTACACTTAAAAAAATTGGCCGGCTAGTTAAAAGAAGCAGTAAATAGAGGAGAAATTTATGCAGCTTTTTGGAATTTAACTAAGACGGCATATTCCTTGAAATTTGAAGAAAGGTAGCAAACAACAAACAAACAATATATATATATATATATATATATATATATTTCTGCACTCAGCTCGTACAATAAGCAAATAGGAGTTTGTCTTCCAATTAAGAAAAAGGTAGAGGCATAAAAGGTCCACCACCTTAATTAATTGTCTGAATACTATAAGTAACTTACAAAATCTGAATGTGGTGACATAGTCCCACCAAGACATTTTACAATTCCATACGATCTTACCAAAGCATAGGACAACTCGTCATTGCCAAGAAAATTAAATAGAAGCCAAACGAAAAGAAAGCTTTTGACTGTTTCCTTCCCCACCACTCACTCCAAATGAGTACTTTTTCTTTTAATTCTCTTGGGACGGTGATGTGAACTCTGACGAATCCAAATTTAAATATGCTAAGTTTTAACTTACAAGAGTAAGTTTTAAAATATACATCTAACTCTATTTATATATTTTTTGCTACTAATTAATATATGTTATATTTTCTTTTAGAAAAAAAAAAAGCTATATATAACGCTCAAATATATATATATTTCGTCTTTAAAACATTGAATTTTGTTGAATTCGCGAATCATAATTGGATCCGCTCAGGAACGGAGCTATGGGGTATAACCAGTAACGGAGCCACATTCAATCAAGGGGTGTCAATCGATACCCCTTCATTGGAAAATTACATTATATTGCTAGATAAACATTTTTATTTTATGTATATTTATTATATGTTGAATTTTCTTAACTTTTTTTGGTGTATCTAATATTTTTATATTTTGATACCCTACCTTAGTAAAAATTCTGATTCCGCCACTGGATGGAAGGGTTCATTGTATATTGGTTTTTTCATATATAAACAATAGATATTATTGAATTACCTTGACTCTTTTGTATGTTTTCGACTTTATATTTCGAATCCTAACTTAATGAAATTTCTGATTCCGCCATTGGATCCGCCACAAGGGAGGGAAGGGGGAGTGGGGTTGAGGGTGATGTAAACTTACATATTATATATAGGTAGTTCACTGGTTTGTTAATTTGTATCACTGCCATCCCTCTAGAAAACAAAAGCTAGCCAAAATGCAGGCCAAAGCTTGCCATAATATTATTCCTCCAAGGCTTCTGCCACCAGCAAAGTTGCCGTCCACGGCGAGCCACATAACATTGCCAAGCCACGTACCACGAGCCATAACAATAACTACATCACCAACTCACGAAGTTTATACACCAGTACCAGAAATTGATGATACAATTACTGCCTTTTGGGATTATCAATTCCTTTTTGTGTCCCAACGTTCAGAGGCCACTGAACCCATCACCCTTCGTGTCGTGGAAGGCGCCATACCGACCGATTTTCCCTCGGGGAAGTATTATCTCACCGGGCCGGGCCTTTTCGCCGATGATCATGGGTCCACGGTGCACCCTTTAGATGGCCATGGTTACCTAAGGACATTTGAAATTGATAGTGGTTCAGGTCAGGTTAAGTTCATGGCTAGGTACATTGAGACGGAGGCTCAGGCCGAGGAGCGGGACCCAGTGACCGGGAAATGGCGGTTCACTCACCGGGGCCCGTTTTCGGTCCTGAAAGGTGGGAAGATGGTTGGTAACACTAAGGTAATGAAGAATGTGGCTAATACTAGTGTGTTACAATGGGGTGGTAGGTTGTTTTGCTTGTGGGAAGGTGGTGATCCTTATGAGATTGATTCTAAAACTTTGAAAACTATTGGGAAATTTGAGCTCATCAACAACAACTGTGAATCATTAGCAGAAGAACAAAAATTTAATGGTGATTTTTTGGATGTTGCTGCTCAAATCTTGAAGCCCATATTATATGGTATGTACTACTATACTACAACACATTTTTTTTTTTTTCTTATAACGTTTATATTATTGGTGTATGTATTTTAACTTGTTATACAAAATTACCTGACTTATGCTCGTATTGCAGAGTCCTTTTTATTTTTATTTTTCTATTTAAATATATAAGGTTGACTTTCGTGATAAATATTTTTGGTGGGTATTTTCAGGGGTATTTAAGATGTCTCCAAAGAGATTGTTGTCCCATTACAAGATTGATACTCGTAGAAACAGACTTTTGATCATGTCATGCAACGCAGAGGATATGTTACTCCCTCGGAGTAATTTTACATTTTACGGTAAGTTAAGTTTGGTTATGAACTTGAATTGATTTTTCGTTTATTTTTTTAGTTTTAGAAAGTAAACAAGTCTTTAAGTGGGAAAGAATTAAAGAAAAAATGTTTATAAGAACTAAGAATCCATTGCACTAATATTGGTGCTTGTTCCAAAGTTTAGGTTTCGCTGGTAACTTCCACTGTAAAACAACAGAAAAAAGTTGGGAAAAAAAGAAAGAAACAGAAATATGGACATGCTTAAAAAACAAGCTTTTTCCTTGTAATATTTTTTTTAGGTTATCAGTTCTATATTATAGGTAAATTGTTTTTAATTACCTTTAAAATGACATGCTAATATATAAAACCATTTATACTAGCAATACATACATTTTAAACCTTTATAAAGAGAATATTCGTAGAGCCTTAATTGGCATAGTACTAAATCTAAAACAAGGAGGAGAAAAGACAAAGAGCTAAGGATTATCTAAGTATATTTTTTTTTTTTATGTTTCCAATGATCCAACTTCTTATAGTATATGTTAATGTTTGTTTGTATCAACATCACATGCAATGCTACGTTAACAAGAGAATGACAAAGCCAATATAAAACTAAATAAATCCAAATCATGTTTTGTTCTTTGGTTTTGTCTCTAATAGTACTGATCGATACTTTTGGTTTAATTTGGTTTATTATCTAGAATTTGATTCCAACTTCCAGCTGCTGCAAAGCCAGGAATTCGACATAGCAGACCACTTAATGATCCATGATTGGGCTTTTACAGATACTCATTACATATTGTTTGGAAATCGCATCAAGCTTGATATTCCTGGTAATTACTTAGCTAGCGTTTGGACATAGATTTAGTTGAAACTTGAAAAAATAATTTTTGAAGTAGTTTTGAAAAATAATTTTTGGAAGTTGAAATTATGTTTGGACATGCATTTTATTTGAAAAACATTTGAAGTTTTGTGAGTGGGAGAACAAGTTTCACCCAAAATCTACCCTAAACTAGATTTTGGGAACTTGAAAAATAATCTCAGAAATATTTCAAAAATAGATCATTAATCTATAAACAAACAATGTTTTCAAAAAAGATTTGAGAAAATGGTGCCAAAATGTATGGCCAAACGGGGCCTTAACCTTCAAAATTTACCACGGAATTTTAATTATTATGATCTCAGATTTTGAAAGTAAAATATAATGAAGCTTGAACCAGAATTTGGGTAACTTAAACAGATCCGTCCGTTTCATTTTATTTTGATATAGTTTGACTTGACACCGATTTTTTTTTTAGAAATTTTTTTTTGAAACTTGTGGTCTCAAACATTCCATAACATTTGTGTGGCTATACTAATTTCTCATTAAAGATAAAATATACTAAAGTTAAATTATTTTCAAATATAAAAATATGTCATTATTTTTTGAACGGATTAAATAAGAAAAGTGTGTCACATAAATTGTAACAAACAGAATACTATATTGACGTAATTACGTTGGTGTTCCTATTTACCTTTATTTCTCTGAAATTTATTTAATGAAAATCTTAATATTAAAAAAAAGTAGTTTTCCAGCTAAGTCAACTATACAATGTTAGGTTATCGATGGAGATTGCTGATACATAGAAAATCACAACTCTTACCTCTAGCTCTTCATAAATCACATAAAATTAATTAATCAAGAATGGGATGCCAAAACGTTGAAATCAATATGCACAGGAATATAAGTTTTTAGATAATTAACCAATACCCAGCACTTAAAAAATAAAAGGAATAGAATATAGTGAGATAAATCTTCGATCGCTTAATTAACTATGAATGCTTACCATTAAATAAAGATCAATTCACTTAAGAACTAAAAAACAACTCCTTACGTTAGATAGAGATCAATTCACTTAAGATATGAAGATAACTTTTTTTTTAAAAAAAAAAAAAAAAATACTTTCTCTGTACTGGAATTATATTCAATAAATACTCTTTCTAAAAAAAAATAGCAAAATCGATGGGAATTTCCATATATAACTTGTTAATTTTGAAGTGCA